GCCCGTCTCCACATCCCTTTGAGCAACAGCTCCGGGGCCAGGCCGCTGCTGGTGCATTCTGGGGCACATTGTCTAATCTAACCATGGGCAGGGAGGCCTTTGCATGCAGGTCCCTAGAGAGATGCTGCTCCCGACATTTTCAATTCTACCACCACATCTTGTAACCTTTCAGAACTTTGCTTCTCCTTTCACTTTAAGGAAGACAACCTTCTATACCCTGGTGTGCTCTGAGGGATTTTCAGTGTTCAAAAATGTTAATACAGTACATTCTTCCTGTGCAAAAGAACACACTGAGGGCATTGAGCACTGTGCAGTGAAGTGTGTGGAGGCAGAGGTATGCTTCCCTCCCCTCCCCACGAGAAAGAGTGACAATTTCCCCTCGTGCGCCCTGTCCACTTGGCGTTGTCCTAGAAAGGGGCTTGTGATTTCCTCTCCCTGGCTTTTTCTGGGAGCTGGCGGCAGCTGAAGATGCCACAGCATCTTCTCCCAGCCAGCTTCCTGAGCATGCGCCAATCTGCCTGCTGAGGGCTACCTATGTGAGTGCTGCAGTGGGAAGGGGAAGTGTAACACAGGCTACGCTACCTTTGGACCTTCAGAAGCCAAAAGAGACCCCCAAAAGTTGCTTTCTAGCCTCCAATTGTTATTGGCATTCCTCATAAAATGCAGGTTTTTTCCATCAATTACAGCTGACTTTCAATATTATTTTATATTAGTTTCTGGTGTACAGCACAGTGGTTAGATATTTATATAATTTATAAAGTGATCCCCCCAATAAGTCCAGTGCCCACCTGGCACCATACGTAGCTATCACGATATTATTGACCACATCCCCTATGCTGTACTTTGCACCCCCATGACTATTCTGTAACTACCAATTTGTACTTCTTAAGCTTTTTCTTACTTATTGTCCTCTTTACTTTGTGGATTTAGTATCTCATTTTTTTTTCCTCTTTGTACTATTATTTAGCATGGTTTTAGAAGGGAAGGAAACAGACTTAAACTCCCTTATAAAATGTATTCTTACCTTTAGATATTAGAAATTAATTTTTATGCCATACAACAGGATAGATATTTCTTTTTCCCATTGGTAAATAGCCATTTGTCCCAACATCATTTATTTAGTAGAACATTTCTTCCTAAATTGATTTGCAACTATACACTTAAGACAAAGTAAATTTCCACATATGACAGTTTCTGTGGGGATTGTATTTTGATTCATTGATGCATGTCTTTTTCTACATCAATTCCACAGTTCAAATTGTAGTTACTTTCTAATATGTTTTGTTATATGCCAGGGCAGGCACTCCCTTACTTTATTACACTTTGTTCTAAAAACTTAACTTAGTAAAGGCTAAATACTCTAAACCCACAGCAAACAATATATTCAATGGAGAATCTATGATTTGCTTTGGATCAGGAACAAGAAAGGGTACCTGTGATCATAGCTACTGTTTGACATAACCTGAGAGGTCCTGACCTGTGAATAAGAAAAAAGATGAAGATGTACCAAGATTATAAGGAAAACTATTACCATTTACAGGTGATAAGTTTAAATATCTGGGGAAAATTTTCAACAATCTATTAGACTTAATAGGAGAGAACCAGATACAAGACCACCTTGCAGAAATCAAAAGAATTTCCATACCTCAGCAATAACCAACTAAAAAATAAAATAGAATACCAGTTACAACAGCCACACAACTTAGAAAGTATTAGGGGTTCCTTAACGGAGGGTGTGCGTGTGCCCTACGGGGTGCTCTGCCCAAACCCTCAGGCATCCCTGTCTGCTTTAGTAACCTTTTCTATTTTATTTTTCTCTATAGCAATTAATGCCACATACATACTACATATACTACTTATTATATGTATAGTCTACTTCCTTTACCTAGAATGTAATCTCCATGAAAGCAGAGATTTTTGTTTGCTTTAAAAATTTTTTTTTATTGATTATCTGAGGGGGGGAGAGAGAGAGAAACAGAGAGAGAAAGGTCAATTTTTTGTTCCACTTACTTATGTATTCATGGGTTGACCAGGGATTAAACTCCCAATATTTACATATAAGGACGGCACTCTAACCAACTGAGCTATCCTTCTAGGGCTTTGTTTGCTTTTCATTGTTGAAAAGGTGTTCATCCTCAACACCTAGAAGAGTGTCTAGCATATAATATGTATATAACAAATATTTGTCCAACACATATGGAGGAAATATTAAAACTCACAAGAGAAATGGCATGACCTAAGTTATGTTTTATTGCTCTGCGTACAGGGATGCAAAAGTAGAAGCAGAGACGATTGTTGCAGGCCTTTTCAGGAACACAACTGAGCAGAAGAGTGGAGAGGATGAGGAGTGTGTTCTGTATGTATTTTGAAAGTAGACACAACAGGATATTCTTGCAGGTTTGAATCATTTGTGAGAGAAAGTGTCCAAGAGCTGATCATGGCAGTGATGGAGTTATCGTGAATGGAGGTGGGATCAGTTCCTCATATGAGGACCTGTTCATATCAATTACTTATCAAGTAATAAAAAATAAAACAATTTTATATCTTTTAGGTTGGAAAAAATTCAAAGCATGCAGGCAGTGTGTAGAAAAGAACTCTTGTGCCCTAAAGTGGGAGTGTAGACTTTTAAAGCTATTCTGGAGAGAACTATCCATGACCTAGCAATGGGGATACTCTGTATATAACCTAAATAAATTCTCACATGTGTCCTTACCTGTGATATTATGACGTTCAACATGGCATAATAGGTGGTGCACGGGAGTTGGGATACATAACAGAAAGGGACAGCTAAAATGTGCTGAACACCATGGATTACTATGAACAGTCAGACATAACAGAACAGCAATACATATGGGTCTTAAAAACATGTATGGATTTTTAAAATACGGTATTCTATAGTATACACACAGGATGAGTAATTAACAATATAATCCACTTTTAAAAATACATAAATGTACCTCGACACAGTTATGTGCATTAAACACAGTAGAATAGGGGTCCATAAGCAAGGAAAAAATAAGCAAAAATGTGATGAGAGACAATTTTTAAACACTAATAAGAGAGGCCTTGTGCATTGATTAATGTTCCGTGTACTGAGGAGTATTATTAATCAATTAACTCAACTCTGCTCCTGAGATTTTTTTAAAAAGTCTTATTTACTACTATTATAAATTCCAACATATGTGGTCTTTATATACTTCAGGAAAGGCAACTCCTGCAGCAGTAAAGAAAGTTTCAGTCAGTAAACTATTCAATCAGCAGGAACTGTTAGCATCGCGCAGGCATGGGGAATGCAAACATTCTCAAGTGGAGTCCTTGCCCTCGGGGAGCTCACAGACCAGCTGCTGAGCACAAGACAGCCTTTCTTGAGGCAGCACCTTGGATTTTTCTTCCTTCTAAAAAGTGGGAGCTCAAAACACCTTTGCTTTTGAGATTGTATTCAGAAATTTGAGCACAAGCTCAAATTTGATTGTAGGCAGGATAAAGAGGTGACTTGAATTATTTTCTAAGATAAAGGCATTCCACAGGTCAAATGGCCCAGGTCATGCAAATAAATTGTAGGGAGAATGAAGAATTGGAGGGAACCTATAGATGAAGGAGAGTTCAAAGACATATCAAGTTGAAAAAAGGGCAAGACCACTGCAATGACTAGGGATGTGTGCTCGGGTAATAAAGCCATAAAGAAGTACAAGAAGGTGACCTTTGCTACAAAGGCCAAGGTCACAGTTAGTTTTGGGAAAAGAGAGTTCTGATCAGGACAAGCACGTGGAGGGGCTTCTGCAGTAGCTGCCAGTTCTGCTTTTTGACTTGAGTGGCGGTTACAAGGGGAATATAATTCACTAAGTTACACATTTGTTCAGTGTGGTTTCTACCTCTGTGTTTTATTTTACAACAAAGTTGAAACAAATCATAATTTAAAAAATTTAAGCTGCTGTAAAGAATAAAATATAGAAAGAGAGCAGACTGACCATATATTTTGTTAACAAAGCTCATGGAATCTATTGATGAATTAGAGATAAAAGAAAGGAATCAAGAATTTTTCTAAGTGTACGACGGTTGCTTTTACTAATACAGTCAAGGTATTTTTGGAGAAGAGGAAAAGGAGTAGCTTGGGCTGGAGGAAGCAAGAGCAATAGTTCTATTTTAAATATGTTAAGATGAGATTCCTATGCTCCAAGTGAAGGTGTTAAGCAAGCCATTGGACATTTGTGTTTGGAGCTGATGAGAAAGGTCTTGCCTTGATTGGAGATAAGAAAAATAAGAACTTTAGCCTTGACTGATAAATAAATCGATTCTAAAGAGATCAAATGGTTGGGTGGGTGGATGGATGCATGGTTCTGGGTAAAAACACCTGGAGCAGACAGAGAACAGTGATCAACTGAGACCAAAGCAATAGGAAAGAAGTTCGTTTTGAATAACTGTATATCTAGAGAAAGCTGCATAATGCTTAGTCCTGTAATTGTGTCCTAAAAGCTATTTTAAAAAATTGTTGAATATCTATTCTATGACGCCACTCTATTAGATATTTTACTTATATTACCCATAAAATTCAACATGATAACACCCACTGGATAGTATTCTTTTTATAGTTGAGGAAGCTGGAGGTAGAGATATTAAGCTTATTTTTCATATTGCTGGTGAGGGTTGGATCAAGATGTGAAGTGTGGTTGTCTCAGTCTGAAACTTTTCTTTGTTTGCACCACATTTCCTGAGAGAATATGTGGGAGAAATAGGAACGACAAGGGGAGTATGAATTCCAGGAGAATAGATTATCCAGCAGAGCCCTGTTTAATAACTGGAGGCACTTTTTGCCAGATGTATAACAGGGCAACGATACATAGTCAAAATGTGGACTAATGTGGAAAGTCAATCAAAAAAAAAAATGTGCTCACCACAAGCTACCTCATCAATGACTCTGAGGAGAAGGGGTCTTGTCAATCATTTTCTTTGTTTGAAATGTTCTCTGGGCTGCTGGAGGGAAGTAGAAATTCTTTGAATCTTTACCTGTTTTCACTAAGTTTTCCCAGCACTCTCCTTAGGGCATTCATCACCTCCTTGTTCCTCAAGCTATAGATTAAAGGGTTCAGCATTGGAGTCACCACAGCATAGAACAGGGCGACCATCTTCTCCTGTTCTGCTGAGGGCCCGGCCGCGGGTCTCATGTATGTGAAGATGGCCGTGCCAAAGCACATGGTCACCACAGTGAGGTGGGAGGCGCAGGTGCCAAAGGCTTTGCTACGTCCCTGAGCAGAGCGAATACGCAGAATGGCAGCCACTATATGACCGTAGGAGAAAAGGACCAGGGAACAGGGAAGCATGATCACCAGAAACCCTGAGATGGCCACCATGACCCTGTTGAACAAGATGTCCCCACAGGCCAGCCTCAGCACAGCCAACATCTCACAAGCGAAGTGATTAATCACATTGCAGCACAAAGGCAGCCGAAAGATGATGGCTGTCTGCAGCAGGGAATTCACGAAGCCGGCCACCACACAGCCGGCAGCCAGCCCCAGGCACAGCCCTCCGTGCATGATGACTGTGTAATGCAGGGGGTGGCACACTGCCACGTAGCGGTCGTAGGCCATGGCCCCCAGCAGGAAGAACTCGGAGCTGCCCATGGCCAGGGACACCCAGAGCTGGAGCACGCAGCCGGGGAACGGGATGGACTTCCGGGCTGACAGGAAGTGAACAAGCATCTGTGGGACAGTACTGTTGGTATAGCAGATGTCCACTAATGACAGGATGCTGAGGAAAAAATACATGGGTGTTTGTAGGCTGTTGTCCAGTCTGATAAGGAGGAGGAGGATGAAGTTCCCCAGCATGGTCACTAGGTACATGGCCAGGAAAAGGAAGAAGAGGGACACCTGGGTGTCCCAGCAGCTGGACAGGCCCAGGAGGATGAACTCCCTTATCCCTGTCTGGTTTTCCCTGCCCATGACCCTCTGAAGACAAAACCCAAGTTATAAACCAATCTGTACCAGATACTGATGGGGACAGAGGGCCTGATGAGGTCAATCAGACTGCAGAGCCATCTACTATTAAATGGCGTGCTTCACCAGATTGCTTCCTTCAAGGTTTGGGACCATAATGGAACCCACTGATGTGGCTCAGGTTCAAGGAGAAGATAAAATTCTTCTTTTCTCCTTCTTTAAGTAGGAAAAGTTTGATTAAAATGCTTAGACATTAGAGTTGAAAACTTAACCAGAACACACTTCTCTTCTTTAGAGCAAATTCCTTATCCTGGAGTTTGTTTTACTTCTCTGCTGGAAACCAGTTCTCCCCTCCTGACTCTCTCAAAATCCATACAGAATGCACCTAACAGGTAGAAACAGCTTTTTAAATTGACCCTTTTAAAATCGGAAACCTGGGGTTACAAGTTAGAAGGTGGCAAATATAAAATAGATTTTTTTTTAAGTAGCATAAAATTGTCAAAATTACATTTCAGAGTGAGCACCATGAAGAATGAAGACTGAGGCCGTCAGGCTCTGTCTTGACAAGTCTTCACCTGCTTGTCTTTTATCTGGGCGAGAAGATGAGAGGAAAGAACCTGTCATTTCTCCTCCTTCAGAAGAGTGGCAGAGCCTGGGTCGACAAAAGGGATGGCTGTCAAGAAACAAACCAAAGTCAGGACTGCGTGAACTCTCTTCCCTAATAAGTGAGGAGAGCTCAACTACTTGCTGAACACATTAGCCTATTAACGAAGAGATCATGAAAGCTGGCTGCGCATTCCCACTGGTTCGATTGGTATGTATCCTGCATAGTGATAGTTGTGGTTTGGAGACTTTAATGTGCTGGGAAATAAGTGGAATTAACTCAATGAAATGACTATTGATGCTACCTCTTTCCTTGACTTTTATCCCTACCTGAAATTCTTGACTATCCCCACTCCCCACCAGAAAACTGTCTTTTCTCATCCTTGCACTACGCTCCCTCTACTGGGATTCACAGGACAAGAGGAATAGTTAATCTGCTCAATACCACCCCCAAACTTTCTAATTCTGCTGATGTATCAGTAGTCAGAAAGCTCAAGCACTCTAGTCTTCTCTCTGGAACTCTTAGTAATCCTATTTGCACCTCATTCAAGTCACAAGTGATTTCCAAAAACCTCAAGGACTCAACAAAGCCCACTTTCAATTTTCCACATATTATCCCTCTAATCACTCTGCCCTTTGGGTGGAGAAAGTAAGACCCATGCACAGCTTTGTTGTAAAACTAATAATCAGTTAAGGGTTTGACAAAGAGAATATAATCCCTAGTCTTTGGCCAGTACTTTCCCTGAAAAACCCACAAAGGTATTGGTTACAAATAGAAATGCCCTTGGTTGGCATATCATGTTTCTGTATCATCTTTGTGTTTTGTAATTGCCTCTCCCTGGGACTGAATGAACTCCTTTGCCAATGAAGTTGAATTTCCCAGGTCAACTCTCATGACCTCATTTTCTTCTTCTGGGTAAAGGACACGTAATTTCAAGTCTGGCTTAATTCATTGGAGGCAGGAAAGTTGGAATAAGGATGTAACACCAGTAGTAAAAAGAACAATTTTTTAATGCCCCAGAAAGTTAAGTAGTAAAATAAAATGTTTAAAACACTTTTTGAAACTTCAATATATAAACAGAAGTTAAAACAGATTTTCAAAAGTAACATGGAGGTGTTATATCTGACAATGATAGTAAAGACGAACAGCATCCTATACCACCCTTTCTTCTTGGAGTTGTGATTCAGGTTTCCTGAAGTTAAATGTTACAAGTGTTCTCAGAATAGAAAGCCTCCTGGAAACCTGGAGATTTCCCTGAAATGTTCCCTGGCACTGTTGTTCTCCCCACTCCACCCCTTCTTCCCTATGCACACCTATACTGCTTGGGCCAGTATCACTTCAGAATGGGCTGGTCAGCACAGACCTGTCCCCTGGGCCCAGATTTCCAGTAGGCAGGTGCTGAGGGCGCCCTGCAGAGCACGGAACGTGACCTGTCGCAGCTAAGCCCAGGGACTCGCGAATGCGGCCGAAGACCTGTGCTAGGTGCTCCATTTCTCAGAGCTATCTGAGAGAACTTTCTCCTCAGGCTGGTTACCATCGATGTGTTTTCTTAAAACGAATTGCTAAAATGGAACACATCTCTCCAGTAACCAAACTCAGTACAGTTGTCACATGAGACTAGGAAGGAGCTGTGTGGTAAGGAGACCCTGGCTTCCTGACTCAAGGTCCAAGACCCCACTGAGGGCCTCTGAGCAGGACTGCCTTACCTTCAGGACGGGAGGCCGGCGCTGCCGGGGAAGAGCAGGGCTGAGCAGGACGTGCGATTGGGAAGAAGTAACTTTCTTTTCCCTCAGAGAGGAAAATCTCTGCAGACCAATTAATGCTGTGCTTGTTAAACTTCTGTAACTTCTCTGTATGGTGACTCCCTCACCTTAAACTCTCGTCTGAATTTAAGAGAATTTAGTTTTCCTGACCCAGGGAGAAAGCCCCGGTTTCCCTGGAGACATCTCCTAAATCTTTGTTGAACTCTCACTTGGAGGAAGTTATAACTTGCCCATGACTGTCTGTCCATGTACTTGTGATTGGCATCATTTGACCATAAGTCCCCAATTATTAATGGACAATGTATGAGATGTTCAAACAATATCTTCTGTAACATGTTTCTTAAGTTGTACATGAGCCTTCTCCCCATGATGGCTCACTTTTAATTGGACATTGTCAAATTATTTAATCACTTTTCTTTCTAAATGCCTGCCCTCATATTGTACAAATACTACAGAAAATTACTGCACACGTTAAGCATCTCAAATTAGATATCCATTTCACTGATGGACATTTAAGTTGTTTCCAGTTTGTAGCTATTGCAAACAACACTGCTAGGAACATTCACACACACGCGCACACGCACGCACACACTTATCTTTTGTCGCATATATGTATTCACTTCTCTTGCCCAATAGTAGCATTGGCCCATTACAGATTATGTGCATGTCCAGGTTTAGGTAATATTGCCAGTTTTGCCAAAACACTTGTACCAGCCCTGGCCACTGTGGTTCAGTGTGGCATGTAAACCAAAAGGTCATAGGTTTGATTCCCAGTCAGGGCATACGCCTGGGTTGCACATTCAATCCCTGGTCAGGGTGCATATGAGAGGCAACCAATTGATGTTTCCCTCTCACACTGATGTTTCCCCTCCTCTCTCTCTCCCTCCCTCCCCCTCTCTCTAAAATCAATAAGCATGTCCTTAGGTGAGAGAAAAAGAAAACAGCTCTAAGCTTTCTTTATCCTTGGATTGTAAATCCTTTTCATTTTAGCCATTCTATATTTAGCCATAGATGGGTATATATAGTGATATCTCATTGTTACTATATTTTACATTTTTCTGAGGATTAATAAGTTTGTGCATCTTTTAAAATATTCATTGGTGATCTGGATATTCCACTTTTCTGAAGTGTTTGATCTTTTGTCCATTTTTCTATTGGGTTATCTCTTATTCTCTTACTGATTTTAGCTACTTTTGTATTTTGAGTATGGGTTATTTGTTATTTATATGTATCACAAGTATTTTCTACTACACTGTGGCTCAACTTTTCATTCTCTAAACAGTGTCTCTGATGAAGAGAGATTTTTAATTTTAATGTAGTTCTACTTCTCAGTTGTTTTCCATATATTTATTGTTCTTTTGTGTCTTGAGAAACCTTGGTCTACTCCAAATCCTGAAGTTATTATTCAGTGTTATCTTCTGGGATAACACTGAACTGGGATAACATTTAGATCAACAACATACCTGGAATTTATTGCCGTGCATAATATGAGAAAGAAAACCACATTCATTTGTTTCCTGTGTGAATATCCAAGTTTATTGAGAGGCCATTCTTTTCCCACTATTCCTTGGGTTGCCATAAATCGAATTTCACTTTACATTGGTAAGTTTGTTTTGAAATTCGTATATCTATCCATTGGTCTATTTATCAATTATTATAAAATACTACATTGTCTTAACTACTATTGTTTTATAATAAACCTTATTTTATAGTATAAATCCTTCACCTTGATTCTAGATCCTAAAATTGTTTGGGCTATTCATGGCCATTTGAATTTTTAATCTGATTCTAAAATTAACTCCAACATTTTTAGAAAAAAAGTGCTGAATATTTTAATTGGGATTTTATTTAAAATTAATTTTAAGAAAAATCACATTTCTGTGCTGAATACTTTAATTAGGATTTTTTCTAAGAATCAGTTTTGAGAAAAACCACATTCTGTGCTTTTGAGTATTCCAGTCTTTTAAAAAGATGTATTCTTCCATTTATTTAATATCTGTTCATTTTTCTCTATGTGCAAGTGTTGTATATCTCTCATTAGATTTGTTCCTAGGATGTTTTGCCATGCTGTTTTAAATAGTATCTTTTACATTATATAAAAATATAATTGACTTTTATATATTAAATATGTATACATGAAATGACTTTTGTGGATGACTGTTGTCATTTCTTCACATTTTTTGGTAGAATTCGCTGGTGAAGCTCCCTGGCCTGAAGTTCTATTTGGTAGATATTCTTAAATATGGATTCAAATTTCTTAGTATATAGGACTATTCTATTTATTCATGTGTTTATTTTGGTAAGTTTATTTTTCAAGGAATTTGTTTCATCTAACTTTTAAAATTTATTAGCCTAATTTTAATATCTTCCTAAAAAATTTGAATATGTATAGAATCTGTGGTAATGTCTCTTTTTCTTTCTTGATATTGTTTATTTCTTCCATTCCTCTCTCTTTTTTATTAGTTTTGGCAATGGACTATGGTTTACTATAAAACATTTTAAAATGTCATTTGGTGCAAGGAGAGCATCAACAAGGTCATCCCATTCCTTAGCAAATACCATTTAATAGGGAACAGGAAGAAAAAAATATTTCCTGTTACCTATTAAATGGTATTAAAAGAAAAATATTAAAAACTATA